AAGATCGACATAGCCAAAGCCTATGACTTCCTTGATTGGAATTTTGTCCACGAGAAATTGGAGCTAGTTGGTTTCCCACATTAATTAGTCGAGGTGATCATGCAGTGTATTACTACAGTGACTAAGCAGGTCCTTTGGAATGGTTTTTAGATAGACCCGTTCACTCCTTCCCCGAGGATTGAGACAAGGATGTCTTCTCTTGCCCTATATCTTCCCCCTATGAATGGAGCATTTGAGTCATACCATTGAGGCAGCTACTGAGCGCCGACATTGGAGGGTCGTTTTCACATATGCAGGTGGCCTGAAACTCTCCTATTTGTTCTCGGTTGACGATATCATTTTGTTTGCAGAGGCTTCTGAGAGGTAAGGACGAGTCATGTTGGATTGTTTGGATAAATTATGTCAAGCATCAGGGCATTAATTCAAGGAAAAGTTGGTTATCTTCTTCTCCCAAACACGACGAGAAACTGTAATGATGATATCTTCAAACAAATGGATATTGTAGCAACACGGTATTTGGGGATATATCTTGGAGTACCAGTCTTGAATGGTAGAGTGAAAAAGGAGACCTACAAGTATATTCTTGACATAATTGATAAGAAGCTGACAGGGTGGAACTGGGCGCACTCCCCATGTATGTTATGCAGACGAATTTCCTACCCTTGACGATTTGCTACACGATTGACCAAAAAGTGTGTAGTTTCATCCAGGTCTCAAAGGATGATGCCCGAAAACTTCATCTGATTTATTGAGTGGCGGTATGAAAGCCACGAAATGATGGTGGTTTTGGTCTTCGACGGGCTTAAGAGCTCAACATTGCTTTTCTTTCTAAGCTTGCATAGGGGGTTATTTTGAAGGTTTTGTATATTCAACCATTTAGGAGTGAGGCGGGAGCACATACGATGTCATTAGGATTGGAACGAGACCGACTCTTTAGAATTCGGTTCGCCTACCAGATCGTCTATGATGATAAAGTGGAGAAGTCGGCGGTCGACTGGCAAGAGTTAAGAAGATGGCGAGGATTGAAAAGAATCAACCCTTTCTATGGTTATCTTTTTTGGAATGCAACTATAGAATTGGATCAATAGACATCTGAAGGAACAACATACCAGACTGGAATTAGGAGCTATTTGTTGGTCTCTATGGCGGACCAGGAATGGTTGCGTCTTTGTAAGAAAGATCATCACACCGCATCAAGGCATGAATTTAGATAATGAGGAATGGCCTGGAAAGGATCAACAAACTCACATGGTGAATCCGCCCATTAAAACGGAGGCGCTGATCTCGTGGAAGTTACCACCTCCCTAGTGAGTCACTCTCAACTCAGACAACTATGTTCATCCTTCATTAGATCATGTGCTACTAGTGGTGGTGGCTTGATTCGAGATCATATGGGACGCTGCTTGTCGTCGTTTGCTTTAAACCTCAACGTGTGCTCCATCACCAAGCAGAGTTGAGAGGCTCTATAGAAGGGCTTCAGTTGGCTTGGGACCTGAGTTTTTGTCACATTTATGTAGAGCTTGATTCGAGGTGTGTTGTCTAGCTTCTTCTTTGTTAGGATGGTGACGCTCACCGTCACTTAGCAGTGATCCGACGTTTGAGGACCTTCTTGGCCGTGGCTGGCAGGTTGTTATCTCCCACATCTATAGAGAAGAGAAAAAGTGTGATGACTTCCTTGCTTACAGAGGGCACTCGCTCCTTCTTGCTTTACATTCTATTTCGTGTTTCGATCCTGCTTTGTACCAGTGAATTTTGTATGATGCTCATTGGCTTTTCGAATCTCGGTTGGTTTTGAATGAAAGTTAGAGTACACTACTTTCATTTATGGGGGAAAAAATGAAGAAATGTAGATGGAGGATTGTTGATAGCTGAAATCAAATTGGCCACATCTCTGTTGAATTGCTAGCTCCACTCCTACAAAGTTACAACCCTCTTTTAAGCATATCCAATTAGTTCGGCATCACTAGAAATCGGGACAATGAAGAAAGAAAACAACCGAATGAAAATGAAGAAACCACGCAGTCAACATTCAACAAGTAAAACCCAATCCAAAATAAAGTCTTCCTTTTTCTCCTTTTTCCCAAAAGCTAGTTCTTTGGGCAATTTGCTGATAAACATAAACCCAAAATAATGATACCGATCGATCTGAAGGGGCCAAAAACAAATGCCTTTACCTACAGGGCTCCACTACAAAGATTATGGGAAGTGCACATATTGTGATACGTAACCATTAATAAAAGTATAAAACCTAGTCATGTAACTTTGCTTTAGTCTAGATGGGAGAGGATAGTGGAAATTAATACCCCGTTCTTCCTTTGAGACGGTGATATTTTTGTCTAAGAAATTAGGGGGGAAGCATCATGGTTTCACTACATCATATTAAAATTTGGTGATACAAAAATATTTCAATCGCATCATACACAGTTTAACGTCTTAATATTTAAGATCAAATTGTTATGAACAAGTGAGACAGAGAAAAAAAGAAGTTATTTTCAAAACGTGACCGACACACAAGATTTAATTACATCGCAGTAGTGCATGGAACTAAAATACGAGTTTATTATGTTAACAATCCGAAATCACACCTATTAAATAAGCTTCTAACAGTATAATCTTCGTGGAATTTAGTGGTCACTATCATACCAATTCGAGCCCTCCATTGCCCTCTCCTCTTAAGTCTATGTGCGAGTGGCATATCAATTTTAGTTTCTAGAGTTGTGGTTCGTCACTTGGTAAGTATTTATGTCAATCTTACCTCGTGATTGTAGTTCTAGCCTCTAAGGCTCCACAAACAACTTTCCATATTGAATAGCTATTTATGTTTGAACCATTATTCTAGCTCGACCAAAGTAACAACAATTTCTTATGTTTTTGGCAAATCCAAATTTTACCCAACAATAAAATATGAGAGAAAAGAAAAAAGAGAAGCGAAAATTTGAATAATTAACGATAAGTACATTGATTTCGTACAAGGAATTTCATGTTCAATTCTCAATACCTTCGTTATAAAGAGTACCACCTATGAAATACATCAACCAAAATGTATCCGTCTTCTTGATATATCTTGAAAAAAAATCAAGTTGTATCCACTGAATTGCCTGCCAAAATAATTGACCTCGCATAAATCAAATTCACTTTAAATGACCTCTATACAAGCGCCCTGAAAATTTGGTTGAAAAGCACTTAAAAGTTGAACAATCCTTAAAATGATTATCCAACACATTCACTTTTTTATTCGGTCCATGATTGGCTCTCCAGTCCATTTTCTAGGTCACTACTGATCCATGAATAAATAACAAGATGTGGAAGAAGGTGACCCAACCAAAAGATTGGGAGGCAGCATTTGAATAATGAAGAGGTGGTGGTATTCGTGTGGAAACCACACTCCCCTCTCTATTTTCTATTCCCAAATCTTGTCTTCATTCTAACCCACTTTCCCCTCTTTGCATTGCACTCAATAACACAAGAGTGGGTTCCGCTTCAGCATTCCATACATCCATTACCATTATTGCTTTAATGCTTCTTACTCTACTTCTTTCTCTTGTGGGTTAATTTTAGAGCTCTAGGGCTTTCTTAATTAATATTCTTCTGGCGAAAAAGTTATAGAGATATTCATGTGCATTATATAAGGTGAACGGCTATTTGCCGCCAACCAAATTGCTATTTGCCGCCAACCCAAAAAAAAAAAAAAGTATATATGTACATCTTTGGTTAAGAAATTTCACAATCTACAACATATCCAACATTCAGAAAACGTATTGAATCATAAAAAATCGATGCTCGCCGGAAAAGTCGCCGGAAAACCATCGGGAAAGCCCATCCTCGACGTAAACTGCGGACACGCATCCATGAATCATCACTAAGCAGGTATCAAAAAATTGAGAATTCAATTTCACATAAAAAAAGAGATTCATTGGTAATTTTGATTTCACAGCAAGTCGAAGGAAATCAAAAACTAATGTAGGTACATTTTGTGTTGATGTGATATGTGAAAGGTGAGTAAGGCTAAAGAGATCGTGTATAAGAAATAAACAATGCGTATTTGGAGAGTCCAATCATAAATACGATGAACAAACATTACATGTGAGTATGATTTTTCATTATGTTTATGCTTGCTGCTAAGTCCTAATGACTACTATGAAATATGAATCATGCCGATCGTTATGGAAACATATCTCATAGCTAAGCTCGGAGCTCTTTATTTTTTTTTTTATAATCTTTATTACTTCATAAAATCCATTATTACATACATTGTTATTCGTTCGTAATTGTTTTCCCATAGTCAATTTTCCCCCAATTATTTCCGCACTTAAAACTTGTCATATTCCATTTTTTTCTTGGAAGTTGGAACACCTTGTTGTTCCATAAAAATATATCCTTCCATCAACTGTTGTATTTTGTTTGGTTTTGCTTTATTTGGTCGGACACAGTTTTATTCGCCTGCTAATTGGATTCCCTTCATTTTGTCATATTCATATTCAGAACACCATTTCCCCTTTTGCTCCCTCTCTTCTGTGCTCCCACTCCCTGAAATAATAAGATCCTCTCATTCAACCTCTTCCCCCTCACGAATCCCCGACCGTCTTCATCTCAACTTTCTTGTCCTTCGCTAAATACCCTTTCTTGTTCGTTTCTGTTGCAATCAACCCATATTACTATACTAGCCTTATTATCTTAAACGATCATCTCTTATCCAACTCCACTATACCTCTTCACTTTCCCCCCATAGAAGAAAAAAAAGTAGCTAAACCAATCAGGCATGAAAACTCTCATTTTGCTTTGCTCTAATTAACCTAATTAGTGCGCTTCATTGATTAATAGACACATATCTGTCTCTCTACCCCACTCCCCACTTTCCCCAAAACTTTGCTAATCAAAGCCAAACCATCACTTCTTTATAAATACAGGCGTGTGTCTCCCACACTTCTTCACTACCACTACTACTACAACAACAAACAAAACAAGCTACTCAATTCTCCTCATCAAAAATCTCCTTCTTGTCCTTCCCCCCAAAAATGGCCACCAACAACAACCAACTCCAACCGTCGCCCATACTCTCCGTCAAGATAGAGGAGAGGAGGGAGGAGGAGGAAGACGAGCAGTTCGATTACGCCAAGAGGGCTCAGTGGCTCCGAGCCGCGGTGCTGGGAGCCAACGACGGGCTGGTCTCCACGGCCTCCCTGATGATGGGCGTGGGGGCGGTGAGGCAGGACGTGAAGGCCATGATCCTGACCGGGTTCGCGGGCCTGGTGGCTGGGGCCTGCAGCATGGCCATCGGCGAGTTCGTCTCGGTCTACTCTCAGTACGACATCGAGGTGGCCCAGATGAAGCGGGACCAGGAGAGAGGCGGCGGCGGCGGAGGGGCTGAGGGAGAGGGAGAGGAGGGGCTGCCGAACCCCATGCAGGCGGCGGCGGCGTCGGGGCTGGCGTTCTCGGTGGGGGCGATGGTGCCGTTGCTGGCGGCCGCTTTCATCAAGGAGTATAAGGTGAGGATCGGAGTGATGTTTGGCGCGGTGAGCTTGGCGCTGGTGGTGTTCGGTTGGGTTGGAGCCGTGCTGGGGAAAGCTCCTGTTGTTAAGTCGTCGATGAGGGTTTTGGTTGGCGGGTGGGTGGCCATGGCGCTCACTTTTGCTTTGACTAAATCGGTTGACTCCAACCACATGGATTGGGTTTGAATCAATAATTATCCGTTTTTTTTTTCGAAATCTTCGATTTCTCTCTCTGTTGTTGTGGTTTATGTTTTTATTACGTTGCGTTTCGATGTGTGTGTTTTTAGGTGATTTCACTCTCTGTTTTGTGAACTCCTTGCTTATTTTAAGCAGCAGCATCCGACGTTTAAAGTTGTTGATGTTTGTTGAATAGATTATGTTGTATTTATCATTGTAGTGCATGTAACTCTTTGCTACTTATCTGGTCGAGAGGGTGCGAAGTATTTTGCTCTGTTGGAAGTATAAAGACAGTGATTTTGTGTTACATTCATCAATAATAAGAACTCTGTTGAAACTTCTTGTTGTTATTCAATTGGTGAGTGGAAAATTGAGAAATCAACCACGATACAAAACTCACCTTTTTTCAGCTCCATGAGAAAGAGGAGAGTTCACGTCTATAACTATAAGGAGCCATACTCTATATATCATTAGATGACTCGAGAGCTTTACCAGAACTGAAGCTCTAACAGAGACCCATTTACAGAATAATAATTAGGGATGGCATGGCATTTTAGTTGAGTTTTAGCCTTTGAATTAGGGCTATAATTAGCATGATTTTGTCTGCTCAAATACGGCAGGCATGCATTAATGTTGTTAATGTAATTGGATTGTATATCTACCCATTAATTAAGGGACATGATTTATACCTAGCAAAAGCAAGACCACAAATTCCAGTACCACCCTTTGTTGTTGAATGTTTGTATGTGTTCTTTTTTATTGGGCTTGACCCGTTTGCAAATTAATTGAATTCTTCCAAAAATCCAAATCAATACGCACAAATATTTCTTTGGATATTTGAGGATACCAAGAACAAGAAATCCAGTCTAATCTAGGTGAGAAATGGTTGCCATCACAGGACAATGGTGAGGAAAGCCAAAAACCAACGGGATTTTAGATTGTGAATTTACTTCACATTTGTTTCTTTTTTTACTTTAAATGTAGTAGCTATAATTTTTTTTAATTTCACACACACAGGAAAAATATTAGCTATAATTTTTTTTAATTTCACACACACAGGAAAAATATTAAAATTTAATATTTTTTTAGTATAAAATATATTTTTATGACATTATTTTTGTTGTTATTATGTTAGTTTTAAATTTTCTGTTTTTTTATGGGTAATTTCAATTTTTTTGTTTCTATTTGGTGGAATTATCCTGATTAAAGAACAGCTAATTAGTACGGATCTTGTTGAATTATTGATGAAATTTGTCTCCATAGTCAATTGACGGCTTTGAAATGGAATAACAAGAAGATAAGGGTTGATAGGAATGATAGCCAAGGAATCTCCAGTGCAGTCGGGTAACATTGTAACCTCAAGATTGTCTCGAGAGCGTTGATGAACCCTAAGTTTCACTAATACCTATAAAAATGAGCCTAATTTCCTTAGCATTCTCTTTATTCTCTATCTCTCTCCCTCTCTAAAATAGGACTGCAGGAAAGATGTCCTTGCAGCCGATCACAAAATTGAAAAGAAAGGTGCAGGCCGGTTGGTACCGGTGATGATTTGTAAGCCCATGGACCATGGTGTTCTCGATTTGATGAACTTGGTCTCGACTTGTTTATGTTTTGCACAGAAAGGGCACCTCTACCCTTATTTGGGCTTTTGTGAAATTTGATGGTATAAATTTGTGAAATTTGATGGTCATAGTAGTTTTCTTACGGTTTCTAGAAATAGAAAGAGCACATAAATAACAATATTGTCCTGATACGTACTAATATAAAGACTTTCTTCGGATAGGTGTCAAAACATAGCCCGACCCAGTTAACCCGCCCGATCAACCCAACTCGCAACCCGACCGCAATCCGAATTGACTAAAAGTCAACAACTCGTAACCCGCCCGACCCGCAACTCGATTGACCCGTAACCCAACTAATCCGCAACCCGATTGACCCGCAACCCGATTAACCCGAACCCGATTGACCCGAACCTGACTAACCCGAAACCCGACCGACTCAACCCGAATTTTATCTAATCCACTTGAATAATTATAAAAATATACAATACATAGTTTTTCAAAATAAAGTTCTTCATTGTAAACTTAAGTAAAATTATTTTTCATTTCGTATAGGAAATTTAAAAAATATGAAACTCACTTGATATTCCGTATTTTAAGAAAATTATAAAAATTGAAACATGAAGGTCATTTGAGATCATGACAATTTTAATATAATATATAAATTAACATTTTGGTTAATTTAAATATTCAATAAAATTATCAATTAAATATAAATAAAGTAAAGTAATGTATTTGGTAATTTGATGTTCTTAAATGAAGAGGGAAATTTTGGTGTATTCAAGTTTTTGGGAAGAGAAAGAAGAGGGAAATTTGGTTCTTTGAATTTTTTAGAAAAGAAACAAGTGGGAATTTTGGTGGTTTTGATATGTGGGAAGAAAAAGAAGTGGGAAAATTTGATTCTTTTGATTATGAAAGAGAAATAAGGAGGGAAACTTTTGAGTTTTCAACTTTTTGTAGAATGAAAGAAGAGGGTAATTTGGTTCTTTCAATTTTATGGAAGAGAAAGAGGAGGGAAAATTGAGTTTTCTAATGTATGGAAGTAGAAAGAAGGAGGGAAATTTTAGTATTTTTGTGAAAAGAAAGGAGGAAACAAATTTGGTGTTTTCCATTTTGTGGGTTTTCATAATTTTAGCTTTTGAAATATGAATCTTTAACTTTTATATGGAGGGCATGACTAGTTAAAATTATTCTTATATGCTTTGAAGGCTAATATATATATATATATATATGTATGTAATTGTTTATGGGCTAATAAATAAATTAACCATTAGTTACAACAATTTATACTAAACTTGATAAGTAATCTTTGACGGTTCGTTGTTTAGGATATAAAGTATATGGTTAGGGTATAGGGTATAAGGTACATGTGGTTTAGGGTGTATATGGTTAGGGTATAAGATATTGATGGTTTTGACGGTTCTAAGTTTTTTATTAACATATGTTCACTTGAAGTCATTTGAAGTCTTTAACGGCATGAGATCCCTTTTTAATTTATGTTTATGGTACGTGGTTAGAGTACAAGGTATGTGGTGTAAAGTATAAGATATATGGTTAGGGTATAACAATTAGCAAATATCACTCTTTATCTATGTTTTGAAAATCAAAGTATGAATTTCACTTTTAAATTAACTATACTAGCAAAATCACAACTCGAAGACATATGGTTAGGGTATAGGGTATATGTTATGTGGTTAGTGTATAATGTATTGATGGTTTAAGGTATACAATCAACAACATATACTAACTTAATATTATTGATTGAGGGTAAGGCTAAGTGTATAGGATATATGCTATTGAGTAAGTTATGATTGAAGTAACAATAATTTTACTAAATTGATAGCTAATCTTTAATGGTTAAATTTTTAGGATAATTCGAACAATTTTACAAATAACTCGTTTGACAACAATTTACTGAAGTTATTTGGGCAATGAGTTATTTCGAAATAACTCCTTTTATCACTATGCTTTTGCCAAATACCTCACACCAAATACCAGATTTCCATGGTTATACTAAACGAGATACTTTAATCCAATTACTACTGAATTAATACTAAAATATCAAATAAACAATTAATGTTGTCTTTTGGTTGCAAATATTGATATCACCATTACTATTAGCTATAATACTTTACCAATTATGATTAATTACATAACAAGTTTGCAAGTCATACAAATTGATTTAACATTTTGACTAGTTTTTTTTCAAAAAAATAAAGTATATATATATATATATATATATACGAGGTAGAAATAAATTGGTTAAAAAGTGGAGAAAATATTTTAAATTAGTGTAATAAAATGTGTAAGTTGGTAATGAGTAATGAGTTAAGTTACTTGATGCGCTGGCCCGAACAACCCGAAACCCGATCTGCCCGCAACCCGCCCGACCCAAAACCCGATGAACCCGCAACCCAATTGAACCCGAACCCGATGAACCCGAACCCGATGAACCCGCAACCCGACTAACCCGCAACCCGTTTGAACCCGAACCCGATGAACCCGAACCCGATGAACCCGCAACCCGACTAACCCGCAACCCGTTTGAACCTGAACCCGATTGAACCCAGCCCGAACCCGCCCGAACCCGCCCGATTGACACCTATAGTTCTTCGTACATCCGCTTAATTCTAAATTTTCAGCTTTGTGAGTGATTTTAGGAAGGACAATTTTGTCCTTTTAACTAAAAAGAAGCTCCGGTGTTTCAATTAAAGATACAAGTTCAAGTTGTATCATAAAAGAATTTGTACAAAAAGTATAGATACAATCTGAAGTTGTATCATAAAAGAAAATTTCCGGCGGCCGGCCAGGTTCTGGCCGCCGGAAATTTTCGGCCCACCCTCTGTTCGTTGCAAATCGTCGGAAAAATTCAATTTTAGGAGTTGAATTTAGAGTTTAGGAGTTGAATTTAGCGTTTAGGAGTTGAATTTAGCGGTTAAGACTTGAAATTAGCGTTTAGGAGTTGAATTTAGAGTTTAGGAGTTGAATTTGTTAAGAGTTGAAATTAGCATTTAGGTTCACAGTAATATTGATGTGTTATATTGTAATTGTAGGAAAAATGTCAGAGTGGTTACCGGCCGATCATGATTGAGAATGGGATCCATTATGCAAGTGTGAAGTTAGTTGAGTTAGCTGCAAGAGCAATCGCTCAGGAGTGTGGGTTCTTTATTGTTAGAGGAGAATGGAAACCAAATACTGCTGGACTACATCCTGTTACTGCCCTCTGTATGTATTGCGACAGAAGCAGTAGGATCGGTAAGTCTTATAAACCAGACCCTACGAAGGAGACCCGTGGGAATATTAGTTTGAAGGGTACTGGTTGCCAGTTTCATATATGTATTAAGGAAGTATGGCAAAAGGATGGTCCAAACACATGGGTCATAGTGGGAGTACAAGTCGTGAAACCGGAGCTAATAGAGGGTTTCACAACCATGAAAAGGTGTTGTATCTAGAACATCACCGACACAACAAATAGTTTAGTGAGGCTGAAAAAGAGAGGTTAAGATTAATGATGAAGGCGGGGGTGAGACCAAATCAGCAGAAGACGACACTCAATACTGAAGGGGGTGTGAATCATGATATCAAACAGATGTACAACAGAAATTACAAGACAAGATTGGATGAGATGGGTGAAATGGATGCGATACAGTTTGCGCTTCACGGAGCTGAACAACGTGGGTACCATATCTGGTTGCAAAAGGACTCTAATAATGTGCTCACTAATATGTTTTTTGCGCACCCGACGTCCATTCAGATGTTGCATGCATGGCCGTACGTC